CAGCAGAAACTTCTGAACTGGAACCACTGTAGCGTAAAAAGAGAGGCTTCTGCTCATAAGACACTCTGTACAGACCCTTCAAGTTTGGAATTTACATACACACTCACTAGGTGCATCTACACGTGATGCTATGGTAAGGTGCTATGGCAACATAGCATCCACAGGTGTCTACATGTGGCCAGCAGCTAATTTGCCATAGTGGTGCACTCCCCTGTAATAGTGCACCACTATGGCAAAGTAGGTACTAAAAATAACTGTGCACCACACATACAGTGCAGTATGGGTGGTTACTAAAGCACAGCACAGTAACAACGCCACCATAGGGCAACGTGTAAACATGCCCACTGTGTGGTACTAAATCATGGTAAATTTTGTTAGTAAATGGCAGCTGCATCTTGAGCCAAGGACAGGCACCTGGTTTTGTTATAGAAATTTTACTAAACAAACAAAGCACACTGGCAAAAATTATTAGAAATTTAAAGGCCAGAAGGACACATTTGATCATTTAGTCAAACCTATAGCTTCTGGCAGGACTAAGACACATCTTACTGAAAGGCTTGATGTGCAGGATGAGCTCCTACAATATTGTACAAATAAATGCCAAATACAAATAAAATCCTTAGCCATTATTTGAGGCAAGAAATAATCTGAAATCTTGTGTGCTAAATTTAAATGGGGAGTTTAGCATGAACATATTTTGTACAATCCTAGTGATAGCTTTTCCTACTAAGCCATAACTCTTTGCACTCTCCACATAAGTTACACCTAATTCAATTCATTATTTGATGTGATACTCGCACTACTTTTCTGAATCCCTACATCTGGCTCATCACTCTCATGACCCACCAAATTCATATATAAATGTGTAATGTCTCTAAAACTTATTAATCCAGTTTGATTAAGGGAAAATGTTCTTGGTGGAGGAGTATATGAGGCAATTTATGGCTTTTGAGGATGATTAAATGCTGAAGTGAAGCTGAGGCATTTGATAATCACAGAAGCTATTTATTGCTGGAATATTCCAAGCCCATGAACATTACTCGTATCAAACAACCACTTAAATACATTTTTTTCTTATGTTGTTTGCTGAATCTGCTTCTATCTACATATGTGAAAGTCTAAAATCTCTTGGACTAGATATCTCCATAAGGTCTCTTCCAGCCCTACTTTTCTATGACTCTATGATGCAACAACTGCTTGACACTTCCCACTGACCGTGTCTCATGAGGAACAAGCTTAAGTAAATATATGCAGTAACTCAAAGAAAATACCAGTTTATTGAAAAACTGGTCTACAAATAAATAATTGTGAGAGGGAGTTACCTGGCTAGAAATGGATAAGACTAGATAATTCAATGTATCGTTTCTGATTTACACTCATATTGCCATTATAAATGAATGGCAAGGGAAATTTTCTACTCACCCCTTTAGTAGGCATTTGAAACTTGTATTAAGTGGCTGAAATCCTGCTTTCCAGACTGTCAGTTCTTCCTCTTAAACTCTAAAATGTTAATATTGCAAAAAAGTAAGGGATATGACATCATTGTGAGAATAATACATCTTCCACAAGTATATGGCACATTTCTCTTTTACCTAAGCTAGTATTACTTAGCCTTGTATCAACCTGCAAACTTGTATCATATTACTTCCCTCTCTAACAGCAGCACTGGGAACACAGGAAATGCCATTTACTGGGTCAGATGGTAGGTTCATTTAGCCCCGTATGCTGTCTACTACATTGGCAGAGTATGGATGTTGAGGGGGAAGGTAAAGAGATCATATCCAGAATCTTCCATCCCATGCTTCTTTCTCATTACAGCTTCCAGCAATAAGAGGTTTAGGAATGTCAGATTTCAAGGCTACCATATTCAGAACCCTCTGTTAGACCTTTTCTCCAAGAAATTACTTAATTCCCTTTTGAACTAGGTTAAGCTACAAGCATCCAAAAGCTCTTGTAGCAATGAGTTCCACTAGTATATGGTATACAAAAAAATCCCTTTTTTCAGTTTTAACCATACTGCCTAATAGTTTCATTTTATGTCCGCTAGTATTTTCAGAGATGGTAAATAATAAACTACTTTCTCTGCACCATTTAATATTTTGTAGAATTCTATCATGTCCTCAAGCATCTACTTTCTAAGCTGAAAAGCACTAGCCTACTTAGTCTCTTTTCATATGGAAGTCCCTCCATACCTCTGATCATCCTAGTTACCCTTCTCTGTTTCTTTTCCTGTTTTTCTATGCCTTTTTGATGTATAAGAACGAAAGCTGCACCCAGTATTCAAGGTGTGGATGCACAACAGACTTATAGAGGTATAGTGATACTTTCTGTTTTGTTTACAATTCCCTTCTTTATAACTCCTAATAATTTATTTGTCTTTTCAGTGTTGCTGAACAATGAGCTGCCATTTTTTTCGTGAACTGTCTCATTGAGTCCAAAATCTCCTTTTTGTGTGATAACATTGTGACAGGAGGCAAGTGGTAGCCTGCAGGTGTGGTTAAGGCTGATTATGGAGTCATCTAACCCTGTAGGAAGGCTGGGCTTAGGCAGGACATAAGCCCAGACCTGAATAGGGCCAGCAGTGAGATTTTGGAGGCTTCTGAGGGAACATCGGCTCATCAGGGTGGCTGCAGCTCCTGAAGGCTGGCAGGGAGAATCCAGCCACCTGGTTGGAGATTTAAGAAGAAACTAAGGGGTGGAGGAGGTTCCTGGGATCAAAGGAGGGGTCCAGAACCCACAGAAAGGTACTGAGTGTGTGGGACCTAGCAAGGGGTCTGGAGTCCAGAGAAAGGCTGAGTATATGGGACCTAATTTGGGGTCCAGGAGCCCAGAATGGGACTGAGGGTATTGAGGGACTGTGTGTGTTGTGGAGCCCAGGGAAGGGCTGAGTGTATTGAGGGATTAAGAGTGTGGATGAACAGGTGCGAGTGATTACACCTGCAAGGCATGGGGCATGGTGGACAGGCAGAATGGAGCTACACAATATGCCCTTAAAGCAGAGACCATAGACACCTGGTAATCATGTGAGAGATCAGATTGGGAAGCCCTGGGGCAGCCTCCTTTATATAAAAAACAATTACAAAAAGACATGGCAGGAAAGAGAAGGGATAACTGCCCAATGAGAGTGTGAGTTGCAGGGACCCCAGGGGTTTCATGGCCACCCCTGAAGAGATGCCCTGCCACAAACAGCTAATGCAGAGCTCATTTTATGTATATATTTTGGAATAATGTTTCCCCATATGCATCATTTTGCATTTATCAACATCGAATTCCATCCACCATTCTGTTGTCCATTCACTCAATTTTGCAAGATACTTCAGTAGTCCTTTGCAGGCTGCCTTGTTCTTTACCATTCTGAATAATTTTGTGTCATCAGCAAACTTGGCAACCTTCCTATATACCTCTGCTTGAATATATTCAACAGCATCAGTCCCAACACAGAACCCTGATGCACTATTTATACCCACTCTGTTTTGTACCCTTAAGCCAATTTCTAATCCACATGTGAACATTTCTTCTAATTCAATGGCAAGCTAATTTCATTAAGAGCTTTTGGCATGGGACTTTGCTGAAGGCTTTTTGGAATTGCAGATTTACTCTGTCAACTAGATCAGCCTGATCCACATTCTTGTTGACACCCTAGAAGAACTTTAATATTCTGAGGTGGGATGCCCTCCCTTTGGAACAGTCGTGCTGATTTCCTGCCAGCATGTCCTATTTATCAATGTGCTGAACAGTCTTTTTTCATTATTGTGTCTAATATAATTTCCAGAAACAGGAGTTAGATTCACAGACCTGTATTTCCCTCTGGAGCCAGTAGCATAACTAGACAGTGCAACAAGGGCAGCTGCCCCAGCTGCTGAATTGGGGGAAGAGAGTCCGGGGGATGGGGCATGGGAAAACAAAAAAATTTCTGCTGCAGTGGCAACCAGAAATTGCTGCTGTCCCTATGTATGGCAACTGCCCAGGCAATGGCCACCTCTGTCCAGAGTCCTTTTTTAAAAGTTGGAGTTACATTGGCAGGCTTCCAGTCCAAGGCTGTTTTTAACAACAGGCTGCATACTACAGAAAGTATGGGAATGGTTATATCCATCACCCATCCAAAGGTTATCATCACTTAATTGTTCTTAGCATTTGAAATGGTCACCATTGAGGTAACAGTGGGTGCATCTAAATGTGCATATTAATGTGATGCAATAAACTCTGGTGCTTATCACACCAGAATATATTGCTCCCAGGGACAGTGTTTACATGTGCGCCTGGGACTGCAGCACATTGAGCTGAGTTGGATTAGCCCTGTCTGGCAGGGAGCCCTGAAGGTCATCCTGCCAGCTTAGGGCTACTTCCCCTGGCTCAACATGTTGTGGAGGGGTTTGCTAGGGTACAAGGGTGCTTCAGTGCGGGGTTAGGCACTAGGCAGCTCCTGCATTGAAACATTCTTGTGCCTGAGCCAGTTGGGGCAGTGTCTACATGTGCACTGCTGCAGAGTTAAAAACTCCATAGCAGGATAGTACTTGTATTTACAAGTACTATCCTGCTGTGTAATTAATTCACTTCGACTAATAGAGGTGCATGTGTTGATGTGTGACATTTACTGCAGAGCTAATTAGTCTACTCTACAGTAAATGTCTCAAGTAACTGCACCCAGTCTTAATCATTCTGCAACATAACCAGCTAGCATAGTAATATGTTACATAATCTTATGTCCAGACTCAAATTCATCCCTATCTATGGGTGCTCCTAAATCATGCCAGCTACCAAAGCCATATAAGGTTAGTCCAATGTGATTACTTTTCAGCTCAAAAGTTCATACAGAAGCCATCATGTGACAACCCCTATTTATGTATTACTTCCCAGTTCCCCAGATAGTTCAGAGTCTAGGCCCTGATTCTCCATGGTGTAGCAACTTCTATAATCATTTACATTAATGAAAAACAGGTGTAAAACACTATAATTTTAATTTGTTTTAAATGAAATAAAGAGATACAAGCCAGTGCAGAACGGGGCCATGTGATTCCAGCATTTGTAAAGAGATTGTTTTTTGGCTGTAAGCTCCATTTTCCTGAAAGCTCAGGAGCAAAAATGCCTCATTTTCAGTCTTTTTTGCTATCTTGCACTTTGTTCCCACAACCAATGAATACAGTGCCTGGAAGAAAAAAAGATGAGACTATTAACTTTGCCTTTTTATCACTGCGACTGGGGACGGGATCTTCCACCAGTTCAAAACAGATGAATATAGCTAATAGTCTTCTCAAGAGCTCTTTACCACAGATGGGGAAACATATCCAGCATCACACCAAACAACTTGAATATTTTAAATATATAGTTACTACATGTCTAGAATCGCAGTAATTCCTACTTCCTGGGTATCCAAGTAGAGGGAGAGAAGAGGCAAGCATAGCAAGTAATGCTGTTCCACCACAGGAAGCAGATTTACATGCATTTCTCATTACCCATGACTGTTCTGTTATTCCAGTTGGCAGAGGAGCATAGGAATTGCTATGCTGGATCACAACTGAGGTTCCCTAAAATCAGCATCTTGTTTCATACAGTGGTCAACACTACATATTTCAGGGCAAGGTGCAAGAACCCCATTACAGGCAGATGTAAAATAACTTGACTACATGTTAGGTTTCATTTTAATCTGAAATACATTTTTTCCTTTTGCTTTACACACCAACTGATTTTGTCCCTTCAGCAGGTTACCATAGTTTATGGCTTGCACAGTTTAATTGCTTCTTAGTCTCCTCAAGCCTCACCCAAAGTGTAAACTAAGTGCAGCTAAGGATTAAGCCCCACATGTGCTTTAACTTCTATACTTACCCTTATGTATTGATTCTGGAATCTTTGGTTCTTGACTTTACTCCAAACTTCTTACATAACACATTTACCAATTTACTTAATCCATTGGCATCTCTTTTTTCTAATTTGTAACATGGAGATGATAATATCCTCCTTGCAGGCATGGTGTGTGCTGTGCTGCTTGCAAAATACCACAACATTCTTGGATAGACGACACTATTGAATTCCAAAGTATAGTTATTTATTAAAAATCCTAAGGTAAGAATTCAGGAAATCAGCAAACGTGCCTACCTGTCACCTCTAGTTGGAGGGGTTAGGCGGCTCCATTGCAAAACATTTTCTTTTCTGTTTGACTGTCAATGATAAAATCTGAACCATTTCACCTGAGGTATTATTGACAAAGGTCACATTTGAGACACTTTCCTCAAAGATTTTGGAAGGATGTAATAACAAAGTAAGAGCTACCACTGAGATGGCAGGGTAGTTATTTCTGAAAGCATACTGGGCCACAGCTACAGAACAATCCCACAACACTATTTAGAAGTCGACTGGCTTCTTGTTAAGGACACGGTAAATCAGTTTGTCCATTCTTGGGATAGCAATGTCATTTCACTGATGTATAACGTAGTTCTTTTTACATTTCTGTGTGCCACATAAAAACACTGTTGAGCCTTCTGAAAAGAATACCTCTTGAAGCAATAAACTTGTTAAAGGAAAAATGGTTTCTGGGCACCAACGCTATGTGTTTAAGGATTTGAACTTTCTTAATGCCTAAAACCTGAAAAAAGTCCAAAAAGGACACCCAATTAGAAAGATATTGACTCATCCTGACAAAGGAGGTGGGGGAGAGAGATCAAGGCCCACAACAAAAGATCTATTCATTTATGGCCGCTTGCCTGTGAAACCATTTCAGCATGCTTAAAAATATTTTATCCATTAGCTTGGGAACTATTTTCTAAAAAACCCTCTGCCCACATTTGACCAGCTCACATCTCGTGCTATACATGGTATAGTTCCTATGGTCAAAAGCAGCTTATAGCCTTGTCAGCAGACAACGAAGGAGTGATGAAATGTGACTGACACAGAAGTGCACTGTGAAGGTATCTGACTTCCAACATTTATATGGAAGAATTAGAAGATGCGTCAGTTCCTCACAGGCCGTTTTAAGAAGAAAAGATGACAAATGTATGAAATATTTAGCCCATCAAATACAGCTCAGGAAAAACAGTTTACGTATATCGAATGTTACAAAAAATAATTACCAAAATAAGGTCACTTAATAGCCTCAATAATTTTAACTCAGTAATAATATAATAATCCATTTTATTATGATAGTAACAACTTTATGTTAGACTTCAATCACACAACTAAAAAAATCCATAATTATAAAGCATGCAGTACAAGAATATCTTGCATATATGCTACCAAATACACATTTCTAATGATAAAATATTACTATATTGAGTGGATTCTGTTGGACTTTATATCAAATAACCAACTATGAATGGCATTTTTTCACAGCTATAGTATATCACTAGTATTATTATTATTTTATGCAAAAAACTCAGTGGATGAAACTTCATGAGTCTCCTTTATCTGAAATGCAAGTTTAAAGTCTGCATTCAAACCTTTTTACAGTAGTTTGTTGAATTGTGTTTTTAGTGCTGTCTTGATAAAATGACACCAGTTTTAATGAATGCTTACTTCTCTGAACCAACCTGTTGAATGTTTCAGCACTATGTGTTAGTTTACTCATGTTAGTAATACTATTAACACCAGAATCTATAAAAATACATAAAAACTATATGCGTATCTATAATTCCTGCATAAAATAAGAATGTAATGATCACATATTATTGCATTCAAAACAAAAAAGTCAGTATTGTGCATTTGGATTTTAGCATGTGGAAGGTTTATGTTATTTCTTTTATTAAATTTTAGTTGGTTATTTTCAAGACAAGTAAAAAGTGAAAAGAACGTGTCATGGCGTGGGGTCCCCAGGGATGGCTGTGATGACCCTAGGGTTCCATGACTGTGTCTGCTCTGCCTTGTGGGCACCTTCTAATCTCACCTGCCATTTCTTGTTGGTTGAAATAGTAAGTTGGGAGACTGCCCATGAGTTTGTGTGATCATGGTCCTGTTGAACCCCACTAGATCCTGCTGATCTTGGATCCCTTTCTGGGTCTCACTCAAAGTAAGTGCCTCTCAAGACACACTAAGCCTTAGGGGCTAGACGCATGGCTCCAAAACTGTCCCTTTACCACACCCCATGCCTCGCAGGTAGTATTCAAACATTGTACCTCTGAGGCCTTGATCTAGCTCGGCCTCCTGTCGTCACTGTGCCCTTGACCCTTATCTGCGCGCCCTCACTGGTGCTGGGCTCTCCACACTAGTGTGCCCCGCAATGTGGTCTTCTCCTCCCCAGTAACCTCATCCAAGTCCACCGGATTCAAATAACAACATATTTGTAACCGGGGGTTACAAGAAATAATGGCCACAAGCTAGCAGAGAGCAGATTTAGACTGGACATTAGGAAGAACTTCTTCACAGTTTGAGTGGCCAAGGTCTGGAACGGGCTCCCAAGGGAGGTGGTGCTCTCCCCTACCCTGGGGGTCTTCAAGAGGAGGTTGGACATGCATCTAGCTGGGGTCATCTAGACCCAGCACTCTTTCCTGCCTATGCAGGGGGTCGGACT